GACGAGCAGCAGCGCATCCAGCAGCTCTCTGGTGGCCAGAAGAGTGAGTCAACATTAAGGAGTCACTTTGTATTCTTTATTCGTCTATACTAATCATCGACAGGTCTTTGCGCTCTCTGCCTCATATTTGCTCTTCAGCAGACGGAATCCAGCCCCATGGTCATATTTGACGAGGTTGATGCCAACCTCGACGCCCAGTACCGTACAGCCGTGGCCGGACTTCTGCAGTCGATCTCGGATACCGCGGGAACGCAATTCATCTGCACCACATTCCGGCCGGAAATCGTCCACGTCGCTGATAAGTGCTACGGCGTCTTGTTTAGGAACAAGAACAGCACCATCAACTGCGTCAGTACGGAGCAAGCCCTGGACTTCGTCGAAGGCCAGGCGCCGAAATAGAGAGGGGGCCTTCATCATGTTTGTTCCGGGGGGGCGACGGAGTTACGAGGATGGTGTTGTTGCTCTTCGTTCTACCATGTTATGAAGACATGATTAAGGAAGACTTAACTTTGTCACCCTATTACTGCATATAACATGTTGTTATTGATGCTTACGAGACCGCGGTGCAAACAAAGTTGCTTAGCTGTTTATTGGAATTCAAGCCACAATGTGTACCTTGATCGCCTTTGATAGGTGTTTACTCAGTGCTTATTATGTGACAATCCACGTAGCCCATAAAGATATCCCATAGTCATGGTAGATCCTTGGTCACTGGCACGAGAAACAGGTGGATTTAGGGGGGGAATAGGGGCGGCCAAGGTGTCCTGGACCCTGAACTTCAGATTGACAAGGCTCTAAGGTTGTTCTTATAAACACTAGTTGGTGTAGCAATGAGTGTTTTCTTCAGGCTGCCAGATAGTCACCTAATCTCCCTCGTCTTGAGGGATTCTACCCGATAAGGTTTACCGGCGCACACCAGATACTACCCTGAGACACAATAAAATGCAGCCCAGCACTCATCTTTCTGAACACAGGCATGGCTATAACCAACTCGATTCTTATCACATATCCAGAGCAAACCGAAGGCATAATCTCTCGTCTGACGTCCAAAGAAGTACGGCAGTCATTAGGGGTTCAAGTGATGTTGAGGCCAACACCGCCATCCTCACAGTTGCGAGCTTTACGACCTAACCCAGGCGGTGCTCAGCAACGAGTGGTTTCCCGGCTTTTTATATTAATCCCGTCCGCATTATCGTTGGAATACTGCAAGGCTAACGCAGATAGTTGCTGAATTCGATGCTCGTCTAATGAATGCGCTATGATCTAATGATACCCAACCGATGCCACAAAGGAAAATACGTAAATGACAGATATGCAAACACCCTCTAAAAACTCCAAGCCCTTCTATTTTGCCGGCCGAGCCCGTCCTTCCTGTAAATGATCGATAATTCCCAGAAGCGCCCCCTTTAATGCGTTCCCCTTTCCCCTTTTTGAGTCTTAGTTGATAAGTCCTCCTCTATCCTCTATCCTCTATCCTCTAACCCTAGCCCACCAGTGCTTCCATGACGTGCCTGGCGGTGGACCTGACAAAGGAATAATCAGCAATCGCAAAGATTCAGGTAGGATGTGTCTAAGACGAACATTATCCGGCTCCAATCATCGCCATACATGGCACGAGACCAATGTGATGGGTTTTCCCAAGAAGAGGCCCGGTTAACTAGCGTAGGTAGATTTGTTAGTATCGTTGTATAGCTTTTAGTAGCCGGGGTAGAGCAACTCACGACGACGTTGTCGGCGGTGGAGGCGACGGTGCTGGTGCTGGGGAGGTCCCGTTCTTGCCAGATGATGATCCGGACGCCGAACTTCCTTGCCCCTGAGAAGTGCCACCGCTGCCGATGGCGACTGACACAGCTGCTAGAATGACAACCATCTTCTATTGTTGTGTGAATGCTTTTGCCGTGACTTATTGCTGGCGAGTGAGGCGGTCGAGACGACTATGAACTCAGATCGGAATGATGTAGATTCTGTTGCTGATGCTGTCTGCAATACAATGAGATCCCAGGGACCACGATGCCCTTTATATAACATGCCATCACCAAGATTTGGGGTCTGATGCCTCCATATTCATTCACGTAGTTCTGAATGATAAAATTAGGATCTGGATCTGTACCTGGCAATCCTGTGGCTAGGCTGGAAGGACGAGTAACGACGACCAGATGTCAAGTCTTAGACTAGGCCTTGGACGACACGGTTCCCCGAAACGGCAATACGATGTCCTCACGTACAGGACGTGCCGGATCGGCACTGAAGTCACGATAAGCGCTCGAGCAGAGAGAGGCCTTGGCCACGAATTAGCCCGTCCCGTCGCATTCCCATCGATCCTGTATTACTAAGGATACGGTCTTATCCCAAAAGTAACTGACTGCCTACAGTCTACAATTAGGCCACGGGCGGGGACTCGGGACGTGGCACTACGGCACAGCTGGGCCCTGGAGTATTATACGTCCACGGCCCTCGCAGCTGAGGGGAGGAACCCAATCGCCCCGCCCTGGCCCTACGGATACGGGCCGACCAAGGCACGTTGCCCAATTCCCCGTCATCCTCAAGGTTGACTCGCGTCGCATCACGAAGCGAGAGCGACGATCCGGGGCGTTGTGCCGCTGGCTGAGCATCGTCGTGCTAAGCCGGTTCGGGAAGGCCCCCCTCCATCCCGGGTCCCCCTGGCAGTCCTGGATTCCCTTTTTGGGACGGGTTTTCCTCTTCGGGCCAGCCAGCTAAGTTAGTTCAGTTCGACGTCGCACTGCGTACTCGGCAGGGCTTCAGCTCCTCCCTCTGCGGTACGACGCCTCACACGTGCGAGCGGGCGCTGCCCTGCGTGATCCGCTTGGCACCCGGGGCGGAGGAACAGGTGTAGGTTCAACGTCACGTCGCCAGTCCACGGAACTGAGTCCTGGTTTACCGAGAAACGCTGTTGTTTCACGCGGCGGTACGTACCCACACCTCTTGTCCCCGACCGACCGAATCCGAATGCCAGCCAGTACGACGCCACGCTGGGGCCCGGCCGGGGCTGTATCGTACTTTTACCACATCCTTCCACCTTGCCGCAAGAAAGCTCGCCTCGTCAGATCCCAGTGGATATAATTCGGGGGCTAGAGGACATTCGCGATGGCAGACCAAACTTTATCCCGACGACCAGCTTGTGTGCGGCGGTGCTTGACATCGGACAGACGGCTCACGAGTGGGAAAGCTTTTTTTGTTGTTGTTGTTCGGGAGGCGTAGTGATTGTTTCGTGTTTCAGTGATTTAAGAAAGGCAGCATCTGGCTCTCATCCTAACAAATGACTCTATTATTGCTATTGCTTGTGGCACTGATCGGGGCGGCAATTGAGGCAGGGTGTCGTAGCACAGGTGGAGAAGAGAAACACTGCTCAAATCACATGTGAAAGTTCTAGGCTAGTTAAAAATGGCATAAGGGTTTGGAATTATCAGTCACCACAATTGCCCTGGGATACAGAATTCCGATTACTCAACAAGCAAACGAGTTGGATATTATTTCCATGTACTGGAATTTCCTCCGTCCTCACGGAGCGCCACGGCAACACCACGGCCACGATGCCACTGACACAAAACAAAATGCTCCAAAAACAAGCACGCCTGGCAGTGGGCAGTCACTCATGTGTTCAAGATCTTGACGGTGACACCTCTGCTTGTGAAACTAGGAATTAGACCAGTCAAAAAAAATGAGCAAGGTGTCCATGTGGTCCGGATCCAACGACTTAATACAATGAATATGATGGAGTATGACTTCGATCCCGGCGGGCCCTATACATTCGTTCTAGATGCTAGGATACTGCTCTAGCTTCAAGGCCGTCATTGAAACCCACCGGCCGTGGAGACGAGATATAGAAAACACGTAGTCGTGATAAGACAAAGATATTTCTCTTGTCCCTGCTTTCCTCTCTTTTCTCCTCTTTCTCTTCTTTCTTTTCTTCTCGGGGAGCACACGGAGTCCGCAGATTTTGAAACCGCCACACAATATGGACTTGCGCACTGCGCCTGGAGGAGGGCTTATCCCACGCATTCTAGGATAACTCTGAGCTTGATATGAGTAAAATAGAAGGGCAATCAATTGATCACAGAGAAAAGCATCGTATCTTGTCATTCTTAATGTTCTAGCTATGTTGTAGTCAAGTCAGCGCAATAAGAGAAGCCAATTATAGAAAAGACCCGGGATTTCCGCTCATGTAATCCATACCCATCCCCACTCCCTACTTCACTACAGATCCGAGGCTGGAAGAAGTATAAGGCCGATTTGTTCATCTGCAGTTGCGCAAGCACAATGCTATTTCTCAAAAATAGACCAATCGCAAAAGAATTACGTGTGTACACAATAAACTGGAGACTTAACAGCGGACCGTAGTGTTCAATATGATTCGATTTAGAAATACCTATATTTATTTCGCTCCTCATCCACAATGTAGGTTGCAGATGGAGATTTATTTGCCTTCACGGCCGTTCGACTACCTACGCGTTTCCACAATTCTGCATCTTGCTCACGCGCTGATGACCGGCCTCGGAAGTATGTCTTGTCTTGGCATCTAACTCCGTGCACCTATCGAGTTCTGCAGCTGGCCAGCGGAAGAATCCTTCGTTAATCGGACACGCGATATATGCGTGAAAAGTACCGGTAGATGATGCAGGTCGGATGGATGTTCCCATTCCTTCAAGTCCCCCCTGTTCGTCTCCAGTTATTTATTGTATTTTTAGCAAACTAATCATGGTGGGAAAGATCGGATGGGCGGCTATACTTGCTACAATTAATACAAAGCCGGCCGATCCCCCGCTCTCTCTCACACTACGGAGACACCCGGGCGAGGGGGTGATTGGGAGACAGGCCTAGGAATGGGAGCGCAGGGGAAATGACAAAAAAAGAAAAAGAAGAAGAAAGAAGGGGGGAGAAAAGTGAAAGGAAAGAGAGCAAGAAAGAAATAGGAAAAAGGAGGGAGAAAAAAAAAACTTGGGGTTGCAACTCCCAGTTGAACTGGGAGGCATCAGGAATTGAGCCCAATGCGGGGGTCGAACCTGGCGTAGGTTAGTACTGAGAAGTTCGAATCGTTTTTGTTCAGATGGGTAGAACGACTTACCCGCAACCTTGAGATTAAGAGTCTCACGCTCTACCGATTGAGCTAACCGGGCGTTGTGGACGACGTGTGGATTTAGGGATAATATTGCTGCGATGTTGGAATTCTGTGGGAGTGGAGCTGGACAGGGTCCGGTCTGGGCACCTATCGAGGTACCTATTGTTCAGTCGATTGGCTTTTACGTGGTTGTGCCTCGGGAAGGGCGTGCAGAGTGCATGGATTTCAAATGTGTACTTATTGAACAATGCATTAAGAATCGGCGATAGCATGTCAAGTGGTGATTTTGCTCGTACTATTCGATCAGCGAAATGGCTTCTTGTAGAGAGCACTACGAGTACGGTACCTATCTGACCGGTGACATCACTTAGGTATTATATTACCTTAGGTAGGGGGGGGTTAGGTTACTGTCTACAGCAAAGCCTATCGATAGCAAATACCGGTGCCTGGGTAGCTCCAAGTCCGGTCCGACTCTCCATGTGATACACCCCGCAGCCCGTCATTCGTCGAGAATATGCTAGAACAGCGAACGACAGGTTCGAGGGCATTTCTGTCTTGGTGCGCTCCGAAAGCTTCTCAATTCGCGATACTCGACAGAACAAACCAATTGTCCACCCCACCTCCCTATTATCGGTGCCTCTGAGCATCCGTCTCGTGCGACCAAAATGCCAGTAGACTACAGCAAGTGGGTAAGTGCCAGACGCTTAGCTGCAATGCCCAGATCCATCCATGCCTGGAAGAGCCGCCTAGCCATGGCCTGAGGCTAACCGCGATGCTTCCATCCACAGGACAACTTGGAGCTCAGCGATGACTCGGACATTGAAGTCCACCCCAACGTCGACAAACGGTCCTTCATCCGCGCCAAGCAGAACCAGATCCACGCCGAGCGCCAACAGCGCCGGCTCCAGATCGAGACCCTCAAGTACGAGCGCCAAATCAACGATGGCCTGATGAAGCGCATTTCCGGGCTCCTGGCTGCCCTGCAGGCGAACGCTGCCGAAGCCGAATCCAACCTCGCCGAAGTAGCCTTCCGGGCCGTCATGGAGTCTGCCGGCAGCCCCGAGGAGGACAAGCCCCCTGCGCGGCCCGAGGGTGTCCACGCCCAGATCGACCAGCCGCCTACGTATACCAGGATGATGGCGACATTGCTGGACCAGGTAAATGAAGAGGTGAACAAGAAGAACCCGGAAAACCGCTACGCCGCCATGGTCGAGGAGATTGGGGACCACTTGAAGAAGGTGCAAGATCTCCAGAAGCAGCTCCTCGCAAAGCTGGCAGAGCTGGAGAAGGAGGAGGGCCGTAAAATCACGAGCGAGAGCATCCATACCGGATTCGACAGCTCCTTTGTTGCGAAGTCTACGCCGTCCACATCGGGAGAGAAGAAAGAAGACGGCAAGATGGAGCTCTTGAACCCCAACTATTCTACATGTAGCGCCGAGGCGTCCAAGGCGACGTCGGCGGCTGATGGCGACGATAATGATGCCGAGATTGAGGCATCTGCGGATGGCCACAAGTTCGCCAATATCAAGGCCTCCGAGTATCGGGAGAGCCATGATTTCCTCACGAGACATCCCAATATCTTGGCCGAGAAGGAAACGGATGGCATCCTTGTCCTGGCCTTTGATGCGCAACTAGAGAACAAGGATGACCTTGCACGGAACTATATTCACCAAGCCCTGCTCATCCAGTACTGCCGGTCGCTGGGCAAGGACGGCGTTGCGCTGTTTTTCAAGCGCATCACCACCAAGGGCCACAAAGCTCAAGAGGTGTTCTACAAGGACGTGCAAGACACGTATTTCCGCATCAAGAATCGCACCGCGGAGATCAACGCGGAGCGGGCTGCGGCAGGTGGATCCGGCGATATCGAGCAGATCCAGCTGCACGCTGTGGAGCCGGGGACCGAGATCAGGATCCAGATTCCGCCGGAGAATAGCGAGGATGAAGCCGAGAGGTACGGGCGCGAAATCTTCGAGGGGTTCGCGCCGGACATGCAAAAGGCGCTGGAATCCGGCAGCCTGGACAAGGTCAACGAGGTCCTTGGCAAGATGACGGTCCCCGAGGCTGAGGAGGTGGTTGGCCTCTTGAGCGAGGTAAGGAGACCAGATGCTATGACGTGATGAATCTCTATACGCTTATTTGCTGACGTTTCTCTGTCTTGCAGGCCGGCATTCTGAGTTTGGAAGAACAGATAATAGACGCCACGACTGACGAAGGTAAGCAGAAGATCAAGGATCTGGAACAAAAGGCTGCAATGGAGTCATCTGTGGGCGATCCCGAGTGAAAACACACCACGTTCAAACACAGCATTATTACCCTTGCATCGACAGGCTGGTCTGATCCCGACAAGGCTGGCGAGGGGACATGATTTTAGTGCCAGTAGTATCTAGTACGTACATACATACATACCCCCAAATATCATGCTCGATCTGGTATATCCGGGGGTTGCAGTGGCATAAAACGAGGCGCATTTTGTGGTATGGGCTAGGTAGGTATCTATTTGTTTAGATGGAGTGGAACGCGAGATCTTTGACGGTCTGGACCTGATTCGTCGTATTTTTCTAATTACTTAACCTACCTATTATGTGCCGACGGCAGTTCCGTTTTTATACATGGTTGCACGCATGTTGTGTGACAGATCTGATGTGAGTAACACTGCGGCTCCGCGTTTGACAAGGACAACAGCTCAAGGCTATGTAAATGCACCATTATTATGTCGGCCAATAGGTTGGCTTCTACGTATTAAGCCACTGGGGGACTGGCGTGGTAAGTAAGGGGCTGTGTGTGTGGCGGAACTACTACCAACCCCTATACTAGGTACTTACTTACCTAATGTCTACTTCAAAGCAGGTAGCGTACCGCTTCACTGCCACGTAAGTGGAGCTTCGTATTTCCTCGAGACTGGGACGTGCATCTCTCTCAGACATCAGGCCTCGGCACTGCCCTAGCCTCGAGTTGGAATCATCGCTCTGGAATCCCTGAGACGTCTTCAGGAATGAGGTCATGGCCGCGAAACGGGCATGCGAGCCTATGCTTCCTTACATACAACCTTGCCGAGGAACTTGACGGGACGAGATCTTGAAATCTGAAATCTGGGGCGGTTGGTTGACACAGGGTTGAGAGTCTTGAGACCCGGCTATGGAACGCGCGTTTTCACGGTTTCACCTCAGCGCAGGCTGACGTGTAGGGGCGCAGTCCACCAGCGCTGAGCAGGGGAGGGCCCCGTGGCGTGCTCCACAGCCAGTGCCGGTAGCCTATCAGGAGAGCGCCTGTGGCCGCCAGCCGGCTGCATCAAGACCCTGCCGATCGCCGCTCAACAGGGGTTATGCTGTTTCGCCCATGGACGACATTACGCACTCTACCTACTTAACTTAATGGTACCGGCCTTGACTTGTCTTCGCTCTCTACTTGTAGATAACTTGTTTCCAACTTGCCATGATGCGCTGCTGCTGAAGAGACGCACGGCTAAGTCATCGTCCCATTGCTCTCCTTTAATAGCACTCGTTCCGTCGTCCCTGTTCTCCTTTCCGTTACCTTCTGCTTCAACAAGTGCACACTATAATAAGAAGTGAGCACACAAGATATTGCAGCGTCTCCTATTTCGTGCTTCGTGTGTTTTCCTCGGTCGAGATGGCCCCCTCCTTGTGCAGAACCGTGGCGACGCTGGCCGCGCTCGTGAGCACCGTCTATTCGTCCCCTCAGGGCAGTAATGCTTTCTCTTCCGCCTCTACGGTGACCACAGCGACACCGCTGTCCACGGCCGTGGCCGCATCGAGCTCGGCCTCGGCAGCAGCCTGTAACAACTCCCCAGACCTCTGCAGCCGCTCATACAGCAACATCACCCACATGGGTGCCCACGATTCGTCCTTCCTCCGCGACGAGAGCACCCAGAACTCCATCGCCGGCAACCAGTACTTCAACGCAACCGTCGCCCTGGATGCCGGCCTGCGGCTTCTCCAGGTGCAGGTCCACGACTCCAATGGGGTCATTGAGATGTGCCACACGTCATGCAGCCTGCTCGATGCCGGCCCCCTGCAGGACTGGCTCACAGACGTCAACGCCTGGATGGGCAACAATCCGAATGAAGTGGTGACGCTCTTGATTGTCAACTCTGACGGCTTCGATGTCGCCGATTTCGGGTCCGTGTTCGAGGGGTCGGGCATCTCCCAGTACGGATACACGCCGTCCGGCAGCGGGTGGCCGACTCTGCAGTCCATGATCAGCGCCAAGACACGTCTCGTGACCTTCATCGCCTCCGTCAGCGCCAGCAGCCAGTATCCGTATCTGCTCTCCGAGTTCGACTACGTCTTCGAGACGTCGTTCGAGGTCACGTCGCTGTCCGGCTTCAACTGCACCATCGACCGGCCCTCGACGCAGTCCACGGCCGCCGCCGCGCTCGCCGCCGGCCTGCTCCCGCTGATGAACCATTTCGCGTACGACGACCTGGGTGCCTCCATCATGATCCCGGCCGTGGACGACATCGCGACGACCAACAGCCCCTCCACGACGACCACCGGCGCGCTCGGTCTACACGCCCAGACCTGCCGCGCGGAGTGGGGCTACATACCCACCTTTGTGCTGGTCGACTTCTTCAGCGAGGGCCCCGCCATCAAGACGGCGGATGCGATGAACGGCATCGTCAGCGCCGTCGGGCGCACTAACAGCAGCATTGTGGCTGACGCCGAGAACCTGACCAACCGGGCGAAACGCGGGCGTAGCGCCACTGGCATGGGTACGGGGGCGCTGGTCGCCTTCGTCGCTGCGGCGTTGGTTCTTGCGTAAAAGGCTGGCGAGTTAGCGTTTTTTTTTTTCGCTGATACCATGATTTTGAGGATGTTGGGTGAGTTCCATCCATCCGGCTTCGAACCCTCGGGGCGGGGTTGAGCTGAACGGCGGAGGAAGGAAAAAAAAAGAAAAAGAAAAAAAAAACTAAGCATACCATAGATAGCACTTGGGATGGGGTCTGTTTTGAGGCTGGCTGCATAGCGAACGGCGTTTTTTTTTTTGTTTTGCAAAATCCATTTTCCCGGCACGGATTTTATCATCACTCACTACGGGTAC